CGGCAGTTCTGTAAGTTCTCCAGGGCAGTTTTGTCCACTAAGGTTGTTGTGAGTGAGAATCAGTAGCAGTGAGTTTGGATTTAGTATTTATTTAATTTAGTCCAGTGTCTTCTCCTATTTTTATCAACCAATAGCTTTTTTTACTTATTATTATATTTTAGTAGTTTTAATGAACATTTACAGAAATTTTGGGTTCTCATTCATTCATTGTTGCCAACTAATAGCTTTTTAAAAATATTTGAAAGGGAGATTTCAAAGGGCAGCTCAAGGAGACAAAGTGAACTATTAGAACAAACTGTACAAAGAGCTGGAGTTAGAAAACAAAAAGAAAGAGAAAGAACAGAAGGTGAAAGAATTAAAAAACCAAAATCAAACCTTCAGTTGCAACATGGAAGGATTTCATGGGCAAAAATCTTGAGTGATAGAGGAAGCACAAAAAAGAAAATGGATATATAAATTTTTCCAGTAATTATAAAAACACTCAAACCAAAACAAAACAGAAAGAATATACAGAGTCACTGTACCAAAAGAATTGGTCGAAACTGAGCCATTTCAGGAAGTAGCATGTGATCAACAACCAATGGTCATGAAGAAAGTTCAAGCTGCACTGAAGGTATTGGGGGGGGGGGAAGGGCCCAGGAATTGATGGAATACTAATTGACATATTTCAACAAATGGAAGCAGCCCTGGATGTGCTCACTAGCCTATGCTAAGAAATTTGGAAGACAGTTACTTCATCAAATGACTGAAGGAAATCCATATTTACTCCCATTTTTAAAAAAAAACGGGATCCAACAGAATGTGGAAATTATGGAGCAATATCATTAATATCACATGCAAGTAAAATCTTGCTGAAGTTTCTTAAAAACAACTGAAACAGTACATGAACAGAGAATTGTCAGAAATTCGAGCTGGTTTAAGAAGAGTCTGTGGGCCTGATATCAGTTGGATCTTGGTGGAAACAGAGAATACCAGAAAGATGTTTACTTGTGTTTTGTTGACTATGCAAAGACTGTGTGTAACAAAACAGATTATGGCTAACACTGAGAAGAATGAAAATCCCAGAACACTTAATTGGGCTCACAAGAAACCTACACATAGACCAAGAGTCTGTTTTCCCAACAAAATAAAGGAACATTGTGTGGTTTAAAATCATGAGAGATGTTCATCAGGGTTGTATCCTTTCTCCATACCTATTCAATCTGTATGCTGAGCAAATAACTTAAGAAGCTGGACTAAATGACGAAGAATGTGGCATCAGGACTGGAGGAATAATCAACAAAAACTTGCATTATGCCGATGACACAATCTTACTTGCTTGAAAGCAAGGAAAGAGAACTCGAAGCATTTACTGCAGAAGGTAAAATACTATAGCCTTTGATAGGATTATATCTCAACATCATGAAAACAAAAATTCTCATTACTGGACCTAAGGCAGCATCATGATAGATGGATAAAAGGTTGAAGTTAAAAAAAGAAAAAAAGAAAATGTTGAAGTTGTCAGTGATTTCATTTTACTTGGATCACAGTCAACACTCATGGTAACAGCAGTCAAGAAAGCAAAAGATATGTTGCATTGGGAAAATACGCTACCACAGTGCTAAAGAGCAAGGATATCAGTTTAAAGACTAAGAAGGTTCTGAACTTAGTCATAATATTTTTAATTGCTTCTTATGCATCTGAAAGTTGGACAGTGAGTTAGTGCCTTTTGGATTGTGGTGTTAGAGAAGAATACTGAATAAACTGTGAGTGACAGCCAAAAGAACAAGTCTATCTTGGAGGAACTGAAACCAGGTATTCTTCAGAGGCAGTGATGGTGCAAGTTCATCCCATATAATTTAATCATATTGTGTGGAGGGGCCAGTCATTGGAAGAGGACATCATGCTTGAAAAGGCAGAGGATCACAGGAAGAGGGGGAGACCCTTAACAAGATGGATTGATACAGTGACTGTCAGAATGGACTGGAGTATATATCAGAGATGGTGAGGTTAGAGCAAGGTTCAGATCTGTTATCTATAGAGTCTCCATGAGTCAAAGTCAACTCATTGACATTTATCAACAACATACATATGGGATAACATACAACAATCAGGAAATCAAGAGACGAATTGCATTGGGAAAGTCAGCTGTGAGGGACCTCTCAAGAGTACTGAAGAGCAATGATGTCAGGCTGGAGACTAAGGTGCGCCTGATCTGGGCTATAGTCTTTGCATTTACATGCTATGCATCAGAGAGTTGGACAGTGAACAGGGATGATAGAAAGAGAATTGATGCCTTTGAGCTGTGGTGCTGGAGAAGAGTGTTGAATACACCATGGACTGCTAGGAGAACAAACAGGTTTGCCCTGGAGAAGGTGAAGCCGGAATGCTCCTTGGAGTCAAGGATTCTGATATTACTTTGGACAGGTTGCAAAGAAGGACTGGTCCTTGGAGAGGGACATCATGTTTGGCAGAATGGAGGGGTGGCAAAGGAGAGGAAGGCCTTAGATGAGATGGATCGGTTCTGTGACTGGAGTGGTGGGAATGAGTGCGTTTGAGATGGCTAGGTTGGCACAAACTAGAACGGTGTTTAAAGCTCTTGTACATAGGGTCGCTATGAAATTGCAGGCGACTCGATAGCACATAACAACAACAACAACAATATATATTTTTGTCTAGTTTCTCAGGTTTTGTTAAACTAGTTTCTTCTTCGTTACTGTGTTTTAGTCTATGAATATGCTGTAATGTACTTAATCCATTCTTCTATTGATGGACATTTGGGGTTTTCTCCTAGTCCACAATTATTATGTGTCATGTTGTGGAAATCTTGTACGTGTTACTTATTTTTCTAAGCCATTGAGTCTCAAAGTGTGGTTCCTGCAAAAATCAGTATGTTCTGGGACTTTCTCAGAAATACAAATCCTTGAGTTCATTCCAGACCTATTGAATCAGAGATGAAGGTGGGCCCTAATAATTTATCTGCCCTTAACAAGCCCTTCAGTTGATTCCAACACATTGTAAGATTTGAGAATGACGTGTATAGGCTATTCACCTAAGAGAAGAGTTGATGAATCACAAGGTGTAAGAAAGTTCAATGTTAATGCCTAATACAAAACTGTTTTTCAAATTGATTGGGGGTGAGAAAGGCTCTCATTGCATCTATGGTTCCAATATGACTTTCCCCACTTTCAGAATGGTCAGTGGAAGGAAAACCAAGGGAAAGATTAGCCTGACATTGTCCTTAAGTTACTGTGCTATCCTCCTCACCCAACCTCTTTTATGGCTCCAATTCGCTTTCTTCAGAGGCTCTGGTCAGGTCCAAATCTTACCCGTCCTTACACATGACAAGCTCACAGGAATTTGCATGAAAATTTACTTTAATGGTCCAGATTTGAGTCTTCCTAGAAATGCTCCTTTTGGAGGGCAAGGGGAAGGTGATGGAGCATATAGAGACATCAGTTGTGTTCTCAGTCAGCTACAAGGTTTCGGCCCACAGTAAGGGATGGTTCAAAGAAGCCCTAAAACAAAAGAACGAAGAGATTTGAGATCAGTTTGTGAAGAGGCAGCCTTCCTTCACTTACCCTTTTAAAATTCACAGCAGCTTAGGAACATAACCTGATCTCCTAAGCCTTAAGCAGAGTGACTCAGTCCACCATTGTCCCCTTGACTCCCACATAGAACTTCTCTCCTTCCAGTGTTTTTCCAGTGTGGAGCTGGAGAAGAAGGGCAGATCCTCATTGGCATCCACAGGTGGGTGTGTTACTTACTATGTTGCCCCAGCTCAAGATGCCCAGCTGCCCTTATGTGAGGAGCAGAGACCAGTTTCCTTGGAGGGTGTGAGGGGCTGGAACAACCCTGAGGTGCAGGTTTGCCCCTGGATGGAGTCAGTCATCTGTGCAGCTCAGCTCCACTGACAACACCCGAGTTCGAGTCACCCAGTCTCCCCCAGACCAGCCATGTGAAGATTTATCAGTCCTCACATGTGCCCTTCTCACAATCCAAGCTCTGACACTGCAAGGGTGGCTTTTAAAAATTATCACGTTATGACAATCCCTTCCTTAAGATTTCTCAGCTCACTTCCCACCGCTTTTAGGATAAATTCCAACCCACTATGATCTGCAGGTCCCCGTGTAATTAATCCTGGCCCTACCTGGTTTTGATATGTTAAATCAGGTCCGCTGGAGATGATGTCTCTTTTGACTGCTGTTGTTGTAAACCATTGAGTCAGAACCAAGCCATAGCTGACCCTCTGGCAGGTTTTCAGAGGCAGGTAAGTGCGTGGGAGGAGATTGCCTATCCTTCTCCCACAGAGTAGCTAGTGGATTCGAGCTGTGTGCCTTTGGGATTGCAACTTCTCCAAATTTATCTTCTACCCCTGGCTCTTTGGATGTCATGGTATTCTCGTCTCAGAGCTTATGTAATCACCATGCTTTTTGCCTAGAACACCCTTCCCTTATGTTTCACATGGCTGCCACCTTCTTGTCATTTAGGTCTTAGTCTGGATGTTACCTCCTCAGTGAGGCTGACTTTAATACAGAAGAGTCTAATATTTGAAATAGCTCACTCCTCACTGGATCCTTGAAATGAAAGATGGCGGCTGTAAAAGGGAAAAGGCTGAGTATCAGGAGACCTACGACTAGGCTTGGCTCCACCATGAACCTGCAGTGCAGCCTTGAGTGATCTCCTTGACCATCATGAGCCCCAATTTCTCCTTTATAAAAATGGATCAAAGTACTACGTGAATGCTTTTCAACTTCTGAAGATTCAGGGATTCCAACTTTCTGCCTCAGAGTCTTGCCCAGGTGGCTTTCCTCAAGGCATAGAACAGAGCGAGTGTGACTGTATAACTGTGAGGGACCCTGGGCTATCCAATTTAACTCATCCAAAGGAGCTTTGCAGGTGACATGACACGAGGAATTATGATGGGGTGTAGGGACATGTACAAAGTTACACTAGCATCAAGGAAAACATTTCGTTTTGAAAACTCTGTAGTCATTTCTACACACTATATCATTTCTTCCTTAGAAGCTCCTCGAATCTTGCATCATGTGCTCCCACCCCTCCCCCAGCCTCGCATCTGGATACTCACAGGTGGTCTGTGAGAAAGATGGGAAAGTGGGGACAGACTCCAATTGGGGAAGAAAAGACTGGTTTTTCCTTCAGCTTATCTGTTCACATCCCAGTACCCGCTCCCTCCTTCATACCCAGCCCCTTCATTTAATCAGGCTCTAGCCTTTTCCAGAAAAACCCAGCCCCTCACCTTGGCAGGGGTGGCCACCTGTTGTTTCCGGCCCTTTGAGGCCACTTTAGAGTTGAAGCACTGATCCTTGTTCATCTTGGTCGTGGGGCTCTGTGAGCAGGGTGCCGGGAGTCAAGAATGGAGATAGAAGAAAATGACAGGATCTCAGAAGGAAAGAGATACAGCCCGTAGCTAGGGGTTCAGAATTTATGAGGTGAGGCATGGGTCTCACCTTAGGGAATAAGAGTAGAATTTTCTCCTCTTGCTCGCCCCTAGAAGAGACAGGGATGACATATAGGATCTAGGTTTGTCAATGTCCACTTCCCCTCACTTGGAAAATATCACTCGTGGATGATGGAATTGTTCCCCGCTGAGTTCAGGCAGAAGCTCAGAATCATTCTCCTTTCAGTGCTCCTGGACGCTCCTCCTGAGAATTTCATACCTATTCCCTCTCCTGTACCTTCTGCCCTTCTAACAGCACGATCGACTATGCACTGCACACACCTCATGCCAGTAGATTTAGTGGGGGAAGTTGCCTTCTTATTCCTCTGACAGAGATCTGGTGGGTGGAGTCGGGGCATTTTCTGCATCACATCCTGGGTAATGTCATTCTTCCAGAACAGTCCTGCAGGGTGAAGGAAAGGGGTGAGTTGACACATGAGACATTGTGATTGGTCCATTCTGGGAAACAAAATGAGATCAATACTTCTCTGTCTCTAATACGCATCTGTTGTTGTTGAGTACCATCAAATCAGAACCGACCTATAGCTGACCCTCCAGCCGGTTTTCAGAAGCAGTAAATCACATGGAAGGAGATTGCCCATCCTCCCCTGAAGCAACTAGTGGATTTGAACTACGTCTTTCGGGTTGCAGTGCAATTTCTTACCACCAGGCTAACAGTGCATGTAGGATCCTATATTGTGGGTATTATATATGGCTTAGCACAGTACCTGGCAAGTAAATATTCTATTGTTGTTTGTTGTTGTTGTTATGTGCCGTCGAGTCGCTTGCGACTCATAGCGACCCTATGTACAACAGCCCTAAACTCCACTCTGTCCTGTGCCAATCGCACTGTCTCTGACACTCCCATCCCAATTATCCCAGTCACTGAATCAATCCACCTCATAGAGGGCCTTCCTCTCCTGCGCTGTCCCTCCACCCTCCCAAGCATGATGTCCTTCTCCAAGGACCTGTCTCTCCTCACAACATGTCCAAAGTATGTTAGACGGAACCAGTTTAACCCTTTCCAGGACAAATCTGTTTGTTTTCCTAGCAGTCCATGGTATTCTCAATACTCTTCTCCTTAGAATGATAATATTCTCTTTTCTGATTCTTTTGATGCTCTTGTGAGGGTTAAAGTTAAGGATATAGAAAGTGTTTCTCTCTTTCTCATAGCTGACCCTCCAGCAGGTTTCTAGACTGTAGGTTGCACAGGAGGAGATTGGATATTTTTCTTCCTGAGTGGCTAGTGGGTGATCTAATCTATTGAGGTTCTAGGATTTGCACAACTTTTGGGTGAACAGCACAACTCCCTATAGCCTATGCCACAAGGGCTCCTTAAAGAGTGCTTAGAAACCACTAAAGCTCTGGCTCTCAAATGTTACTGTGCACCCGAGTCTTCAGTAGAGTTTATGCAGAGATTGTGGTTCCCACCCCAGAGTTTCTCATTCAGTAGGTCTGTGTTGTTGATTGGCATAGTGTTGATTCTTATGGCAACTCCACAATTGAATAGTAGGATTGCTCCATAGAATTTATAAAGCTATGACCTTCAGAAGCGGGTCACTAGGCCTATCTTCCAAAATGACTCTAGATTTGAGCTGCCAACTAGTCCAGCGATTAACCATTGGAGATTCAAGAATTTACATTTCTAACAAGTCTCTTCAGGATGCTAATGCCATTGTCCTGGGCATGCATTTTGATAACCACTGCTAGAGGCTGGAAGACACATACTGGACATCAGCAGTATTAGTAAGAGGAACTCAAGGCAGATCTCTTGACTGGCTCTTCCCCAGTCATGAAATTCTGTTCTAATGAAGAATCAACCACCTGTCCCAAAGAGCTTTCCGTGCACTTTTCGGTCCACTTATTTGTCATCCAATTTTCCCTATTGTCTCCCTAGAATCCAAGTCATATTAGGTGTATGTGTTGTTCTGACTTAGAACTCTGGGTTTTGGGGCTCTGGAAAAAAATAAATAATGCCAGGAGTTGGGATTGGTTCCAAAAGGTTGAGAGCTAATCTATCCCATGGACTCTTTGCTCTGCTGGTCTCTGTAGGGTATTCAAATGCAAGTAGCCCAGTTAGCATACCCATACCACCTCTACTCCTGCCTTAGCCATCCTTCATGAGGTGAGCATGCCAGGAACGTTCAGGTGGAGAGAGGTACTTTGGGAAGGGGAAAGCTTGTGCTCAGTTCAGAGATCCTCCCATTGCCCACCTTTCAGACTGACCTGGCCCCACTCTCTTCTCCAGTTCTCCCAGACTTACCATGGGGGACAATCTGCTGGAATACATCTCGTAAGTGCCAGAAGACTGGGATGGTAAATCCTTGGAAGGGCCAGAGATGGCTCAGTTTCACTTGCCTCTGGCCATCTAAGGACACAATACAAATGTTAGTAAAAGAGTTGGACCAAAAGCCCTCTAAAGCTCCAGTTAAAGAGAAGCAGATTCCCTGCACTAATTATTACTCGAGGATTTCCAGGCCTCTGTCCCCTCACCAGGCCCTTGTTTCCCCTTCAAACCCTTCTCCTCATTTCCCCTTCCCTGTCTCTCCCTGCCCTATTTATAGTTCAGTCCCTGGGGCACAGTAGCCTGTGGAAGTTCAAGTGAACAATGGTTCAGACAGATATATGCATGGGATGGACAGTCAGATAGTCAGTGGCATTAAGAAAACAAGTGAACTGCATTAATTGGATTCTGGGAGGGAATTAGGTAAGAGCTCTGGATTCCTGAGAAGAAGAAAATATTAGGACATAGGGTTTGAATGACTGGTCTCTTCTGAAAAGTACAGTTTGCTCAGCTGTGCATTAGGGAGATGGCTGGGGACATGAACAGTCCCTCCTGGAATACACACCTTAACAGATAAGGTAGGCTTGGAGAAGGGCTCATTTCCCCCTCTATAATGGGGTTTCCTTGAGTCATACAGGAAAGTACTAAGAAATAGGAATTCTCTGCAATTAAGTGTAATCTAATAACCATTTTCTGGCTTCTAGGAGGGATGGAACCTCCAGAATTGCCAAGAAGGCTAACAGTTTCAAGGAGGAGAAATAGTTCTCTAAGGCGGCGCGCCCTAAATTGGTAGGAATGAGCGGTGCCCCGCATCCACCCATGCAACCGTGCGCTGGGCGCTCTCCGGGGTGCTGAAGAGGCTGGGGGTGGTGCGGAGGCTCTGCGAGGTGGAGAGACAGTTCCACCGGCTTCTGCTCTCCCTATATCCTGCTGCCACTGGACCTCTTCGTTTCTCTGCGAGCCTTCGAGCCTTCGGGCATCCGAATCTGATCCTAAATACTGGCTGGGAGAGGGAAGATCAGACGAGGAAATTGCGCACTCTTGGCCCTCAGCACGGGAGTTCTGGAGCCTGTGGTCTGTCTCTGACCATGAGTCAGCACTGAGTTCTACCTAGGATGGTGCCGGTGGGAGGGGGAGAAAGATGGAGGGATCCTTCCCCTCTTAATTATTCGCATCTCCGGCCTGGCCTTCCCCTTAACAGAAATCAAGTCGCAAACACCAGGGTCTGCAGGCTCTCCTTGGCCCAACCTTCTCCTGGCAGCCGGACTCCAGCTCCTGCTCCTACTGCCCAGTGATCCAGTCCCCGTTGTCCCTCAGCAGGACTGTCGAGCTCCTCCTGCCCACTTGCCTCCCTTCCCGTCTTCCCATGTCTCTGAGGCCCAGAAGGAGAAGCCTACGTTGACCCCTTCCTCCCAGGTGATTCCCCGATCCCCTAAACACATTTCTATCTTGAATTTCCTAACCTTGAGGCCCCCTCACCCACTTCTATCAGGACTGCTCCCTGGCTTTGCCCCTACACCCCCAAGTCTCCTCCTGACCGTTGGCATTAATGTCGTTGCAGTCGCCCGGGCGGCTATTCAGCAGCAGGAAACAGAGGAGCAGCCGAAGCCCCCCGGGGCCCCCAGGCCACCGTGGACTCAGCATCCTCTCTCTGACACGCTTGCTCCACCGTCTAATGTGCAAAAATCAGACACAACACAGCAGCAGCTGGAGACGCCAAGGCAGGGCTGTCGCTCGCCACTAGCCAATGAGGCCGCCTCTGCACAACCCTCCTCGTGGCAGCTGGGCCAATCACAGGCCGATACGACAGAAGCCCACCCCAGGCTCAGCCTCCTGAGTGGCTCTGGCTTTAGACTCCCACTTCCGCAGGCACCTACCTAAGCCCCTCTCAACATCTCCTAAAGTTCCTGCCTTGGCCTCCTTTTTATCATTGCCTTATCCCAAGGACCACCGGGTCTATCCCCAAGGCCCAGCAGTGCCAAGGTTGATAAAATAGATAGCGATTGGAGGGCTGGGTAAAATACACTAGTTTGATTCTAAAAGGAGACATCTAAACTGTGGAAGTGAATTGTACCTAATTTACATGTTTGTTGTGATGATAACGTAAGAATAATGATTGGGCAGTTGCCTCTCAAAAAAATAAGTCGTTTTTACTATCTTTTTTCCCCCCTTTTCGTTTTTACTATCTTTAATGCTCTTTTTATGTTCCTGGGTGACATTAGCAGATACAAAGCTGATTATAAGACAAAATGTGGTGATTTAAACTCACCCAGCGGAGCCTCAGAAGGCAAGCCTATCATCAGTCTGTTCCGGACAGCCTTGAACACTGTTTCTGATCACCCTTGGGTGATCCACGGATCAGAACTGACTTGATAGTAACTGACAACAATGATGCTCATTTTACCCTCATTCCTCTAAAAATTAATAACCATATGGGTAATGGGGGTAGGTGTGTCAGAGACAGTAAGATTGGTACAGGATAGAGCAGAGTATAAGGCTGTTGTACACAGGGTCACTGTGAGTCACTAAGTGACTCGATGGCATATAGCAACAACAACAGCAACATAATTTCCATCTGAAAATACATTGCCCATCTATTCCTTCTCTCCATATCCATCCCCTGGCCCAAGTCACTGCACTCTCTGAGCTATTGCAATAACTAATTAACTAGCTGTTCCTTGGGAGAAAGATGGGCAATCTCTCCCTGTGCCATTTACAGCCCCAGGAAACCTGCTAGAGGGTCAGTTGTAAGTTGGCACATAATTAACTAACCAAGCAATTAACTAGTCTGCTTCAAATGGGTATTGCTTTGAGAGCCATCTACCAGTAGGCTCAGATGTAAGCTTTCTAAATGCCAAGTATGGTATCTCAATTTTTTAAAATTAAAGTTAAAACAATATTATGAAAACCCCCCAAAACATTATTAAGATTTTTTCAAATATTAACAGTCTAGTGAATGAAAAGTCAGATATATAATTATTAATGTTAATAATTTAACATTTTACCATAAGTGCTTCTTTTTCTTGAAGTATCTAAAATTTACAAACATGACGACATTTCACTCCTAAATTAATCAAAACACATCCCTTAGAATTAAGAATCATTTTCCATCTAATAAAACCCCAATTCCAACTCACAGTTAACCTCCACTGAATTTCCAAGGGTGCTCTGGAGGCCTCACAATAAGGAGTAGCTCTGCCAGCCTAAAACGTAATTCAAATCCACCAGCTGCTTTTCAGGGAAAAAGATGGCCATCTCCTCTCATGAGATTTACAGCCTCTGGAAACCCACTGGAGGGTCAGCTACGGATTGGTTCTGACACAACGACATAAAACAACAACAATAATAGATCTTAATAGGAGAATACTATGCATCTTTCTGATACAGAACACCTGATGGATTTGAACTGCTGACCTTTTGCTTAACAATGAAACACTTAAAGCACTATCCTACGAGTTCCTTTCTGTATAACCACAATGTCATCACACAACACCTGCCATAGCCTGAATATACCTTTGCAGGAGGAGATTGCTAGGTTAGTCTATAGGAGCAGTCTGCAATGTGGTTTGAACCGCCCACTCTTCATTTAGGAGCTGAGTGCTTCACTGCTGTGACCTGTCGAAGTGCAAAAAGGCCAGGAAATGTGACTGCCCTCTAAGGCCTCCAAAATAAACGCAGCCATGCATACACCTTGATTTTAGAATTTTTATTTCCAGAAAATAAAGATAGATGTCTCATGTATATTTGTGTGGGTTAAAACTGCCAAGTTAGAGAAAGTTACAGCTGTAATCAGAAATACCTAATGAACTTTATAATAATTTCCTAATTTAGAATTTTTCTCTGACTTCTGAATATGGATCTATCATGGATTCATTTGTGTTCCCCAAAATACGTGTCATTTTGCCTGGATCATGCTTCTCGGTGGTTTGGCACTTACGTAATGACACAATTTGCCAATTCTGTAATGACACAATCACCCCCATTAAGTGATCAGGTGAGCTCAGCTAATTAACTGTAAAGGAAGACAGTTCAAGCAACATCCTTAAAGTGTCTTTGTGGCACAGTGGTTAAAGCAGACAGTGTACCAACTGAGAAGTCTGCGGTTTGAACCCACGAGCTGATCTGGATGCTTGGTAAAGAAGTGGCAGTCCGTTTCCAGAAAACTTTCAGCCTGGGAAACCCCAGAGGCAGTTCCACTCTGTCCTGTGTGGTCATGACGAGTTGGAATAAACTAGGCAGCAGTGGATTTGCTTTTGTGTTTGGGTGCAACTCCCTTATGTACATCACAGCCCTGGTTCTATGTGGGAAACATCTCTAGCTGCAGCCTGAATCTTCTTTCTTGTTGTTTTTTGGTGCTATCAAGTCTACTACAACTCATAGCAGCCCTGTGGACAACAGATCAAAACCTTACCCAGTCCTGCCCCAGGCTCACCATCTACTCCCATTGTGGCAGTCGCTCTGCCAGTCCGTTTTGTTGAGAGTCTTCCTCTTCCTTGCTGACTTTCTCGTTTTCCAAACATTATATCATCTTTCAAGAACTGGAAGACAACAGGCCCCAAGTATGTTAGATGAAGTTTCACCATCTTTATCTCTAAGGAGCAGTCTGGCTGCTCTTTTTTCAAGACAGATTTAGTTGTTCTTTTGGTAATCCATAGTGTAGTACAGTATAGTATAGTATAGTATAGTATAGTATAGTATAGTATAGTATAGTATAATCCTTGCAATTCCACAATTCAAAATCATTAGTGCTTCTTCTGTCTTCTTTATTCATTGTTCATGTGAATACCATGAAATTGCATGGCTTGGCTTGGGTGCACATGAATCTTTACTCTGACACTCTTGTTCTTTACCACTCTGGTCCTTGACAGCAGGATTTTCCCCATGTACTTATCTTTTGAGTTCTTGACTGCTGCTCACACAGGTGTGGATTGTGGATCCAAGTAAATAACTCACAACTTCAGTCTTTTCTCCACCAACCATGAGGCTACTTATTGGTCCAGTTGGAGAGCTTTGTTTTCATATGTTTATATGTCATCTATACAGAAGGCTGTAGTCTTTGATCTTCAGTTACTACTTTCAATCTTCTTCACTTTCAAAAAGCAAGGTGATCATCTGCATAATGCAGGGTGTTGTTGAATCTCTCTCCAATTCTGGTGCCATATTCTTCATATAATCCAGCTTCTTGGATAAATTGCTCAGTATCAAGCTTGAATATATATGGTAAAATGATACAAGTCTGACATATGCCTTTTCTGATTTTAAAGCATCCACTGAAGAGCTTGCTGCAGAAAGTCAAGGATTGCAGCCTTCAATACGGATTGAAGCTCAACGTCAAGAAGACAAAGATTCTCTTTAAAACAAACAACAAATATTCTCACCACTGGGCCAACTGGCAGCATCAGTATGGATGGTGAAGAGATTGAGATAGTTACAGTTTTAGTTTGCTTGGCTCCACACTCAACAGTCTTGGTACTAGCAGCCAGGAAATCAAGAGATGAATTGCATTGGGAAAGTCAGCTGTCAGGGACCGTTCCACTGAAGAGCAACAACGTCAGGCTGGAGACTCAGGTGCACCTGATCCAGACTACAGTCTTCGCAATTATGTGCTATGCATTGGAGAGCTGGACATTGACAAGAGATGACAGAAAGAGAATTGATGCCTTCGAGCTGTGGTGCTGGAGAAGAGTGTTGAATATATCATGGACTGCTAGGAGAACAAATAAATTTGTTCTGGAGAGGGTGAAGCCGGACTGCTCCTTGGAGGCAAGAATTGTGAAGCTTCATCTGACATACTTTGGAATGGAGAGGGACATCATGTTTGGGAGAGTGGAGGGACAGCACAGGAGAGGAAGACCAGCTATGAGGTAGATTGATTCAGTGACTGGGGTAATCGGGGTTGGGGTGTCAGAGACTGAGAGATTGGCACAGGATAGAGCAGGGTTTAGGGCTGTTGTACATAGGGTTGCTATGAGTTGCAAGCAACTTGACGGCACATAACAACGACAATAACAGTGTTCCCTTATTCCATTGACATGACTACCTCTTAGCTCATGTACAGATTCTCTATGAACACAATTATTCTGGAATTCCCACTATTTTCAATGTTATTAATAATTTAATATTAGCCACACAAATGAATGCCTTTTTATAGTAAAACAGCACAAATAAACATCTTTCTGGTATTCTCTCATTTCAGCCAAGATCCATTTGACATCAGCAACAATATCCTTTATTCCATGGCCTTTTCTGAATTCAGTTTGAATTTCTGACAGCTTCCTGTCGATGTACTGCTCCAATAATTTCTAAATAATCTTTAGGAAGATTTTACTTAGATGCAATATTAATGACATTGTTCTATAATTTCCACATTCTGTTGGATCATCTTTTTTTGGAATGGGTGCAAATATGGATCTCTTCCAGGCAGTTGGCCAGGTAGTTGAATTCTAAATTTCTTGGCATAAATTAGTAAGCATATAAAAGGCTGCATTTTTGCAAAAGCATTTGACTGTGTGTATTACAATAAATTATGGATAACATTGAGAAGAATGAGAATTTCAGAACACTGAAGTGTGCTCATAAAACCTGTACAAGGACCAAGAAGCGTGTGTCCAAACAGAACAAGGCAACTCTACATGGCTTGAAAT